TTGTAGTTTTTTTCGGTGTGACTGGCTATAGCTGCTTTCAGAGTATTTTCTGTGTCAACACTTCCCGATGTAACTTCTCTTCAAGGTTTGGATCTTGTTCTCGAGGTTGGTTATCTTGGATTCTCGTCGCTCGAGTGTTGCTTTGATATCTTTGATTTCGTTTTCTAGAACAACGATGTAGTCCTTGATATTGTCAGGAATAATCATCCCTGAGTAATCATGGGGGGAAATCCTTTAAAGGGGAGTGGAGTTGGGGGGGAAGTCAGCCATGTTTGTTGTTGTTGTTGTTCCCTGGGTGGCGGCGGTGAGGGGGGTTGATGATACACCCGCGTCCTGCGGGGTAGACAAGTTGAGTTCTGGGGTCCTTGCTGTTATTCTTTTATTACTGCTGTTGTTTCTTCTGCGATACCCTTTCATAGTATCACTGAAGTAGATACTGTGTAGCAATGGAGAAGGCTTGTTTTCTCGGAGCTTGGGTTAAGTGGTTGTCTGGCAGCGGAGGCAGTGTTTGGGTTAGCAGGGCTGTCTTCCTTAGATCTTCTATTTTTGTCAAGATTTGGGTTACATTCTTAGTATTCTTGGGTCATTTTGTGGTCTACGTGGGTTCATGTAGTTGAACTTTCACTTAGGCCATCACAAGTTTTGATGAGCGATGTTTTTTGAGGAAGAAGAGCTGGTAGGATGCCGCTGCTGCCGCTGCCGCTGCCGGGCACTTGCTATATTTATAGATCGTGTTGTAAAAGAAGTAAATGCTAGGGTGTTCGGGAGAGGGGTGGGATTAAATTATGGGGAATCAAATACAAAATAGGAATTGACAGTTGCTTTTTGCTGATGATACTGTGCTCATGGGAGATTCTAAAGAAAAATTGCAAGGGTTAGTGGATGAGTTTGGGAGTGTGTAAAGGTAGAAAGTTGAAAGTGAACAAAGAAAAGAGTAAGGTGATGAGGGTTGTCAAATGATTTAGATAAAGAGAAATTGGATATCAAATTGGGGAGGAGGAGTATGGATGAAGTGAATGTTTTCAGATACTTGTTAGCTGACGTGTCGGCAGATGGATTTATGAAGGATGAGGTTAATCATAGAATTGATGAGGGAAAAAAGGTGAGTGGTGCATTGAGGGGTATGTGGAGTCAAGAAACGCTATCTATGGAGGCAAAGAAGGGAATGTATGAAAGTATAGTAGTACCAATACTCTTATATGGGTGTGAAGCTTGGGTTGTGAAAGCAGCAGTGAGGAGGCGGTTGGAGGCAGTGGAGATGTCCTGTCTAAGGGCAATGTGTGGTGTAAATATTATGCAGAAAATTCGGAGTGTGGAAATTAGGAGGTGTGGAGTTAATAAAAGTATGTCAGAGGGCTGAAGAGGGGTTGTTGAGGTGGTTTGGTCATTTAGAGAGAATGGATCAAAGTAGAATGAAATGGAGAGCATATAAATCTGTAGGGGAAGGAAGGGGGGGTAAGGGTCGTCCTCGAAAAGGTTGGAGGGAGGGGGAAATGGAGGTTTTATGGGCTAGGGGCTTGGACTTCCAGCAAGTGTGCATGAGCGTGTTAGATAGGAGTGAATGGAGAAGAATGGTATTTGGGATCTGACGATCTGTTGGAGTGTGAGCAGGGTAATATTTAGTGTAGGGATTCAGGGAAACCGGTTATTTTTATATAGCCAGACTTGAGTCCTGGAAATGGGAAGTACAATGCCTGCACTCTAAAGGAGGGGTTCGGGATATTAGCAGTTTGGAGGGATATGTTGTGTTATCTTTATAGGTATATGCTTCTAAACTGTTGTGTTCTGAGCACCTCTGCAAAAACAGTGATTATGTGCGAGTGAGGTGAAGTGCTGAATGCTGAAAGTATTTTCTTTTTGGAAACTTTCTTTTTTTTTGGGTCCCCCTGCCAAAGGGGGAAACGCCACTTGTTAAAAATTTTTTAAAGAATTGATGAGGGGAAAAGGGGAGTGGGCATTTTGGATCTGTGGAGACAAAGAGCTTTGTTTGGAGGCAAAAGGGGGGAATGAAATAGGTATGTTTTACCAACGTCTTATATGGGGTAAAGCAGGGGTGATGATGGTTTGTAGCGAGGGAAGGCGAGGCAGGGGAGTTTTGTTGAAGGAAATGTTGGTGTGAATATAATGCAAGAATTCGATTTTGGGAATTAAGGAGGGGGGCGGGATTCCCAAAAAACTGTTTCAGAGGGCTGAGGAAGTGTTGTTGGGGTGGTTCGGATTTGTAAGAGAAGGGAGCGAAAAGAGTGCTTAAAGAGTGATCAGCTTTATGGAAGGAAGGCGGGTTGGGGTAGGCCTGGGAAAGGTTGGGAGGGGGGGGGTAAAGGAGGTTTTGTGTGCGAGGGGCGGGACTTCCACAAGTGTGCATGAGGTGTTAGATAGGAGTGAATGGAGAAGAATGGTATTTGGGATCTGACGATCTTTTTGGAGTGTGACAGGGTAAAATTTAGGTAGGGATTCGGGGAAAACGGTTTTTTTTAAAACCCAAACCTTGAGCCCGGGAAAATTGGGAAGTAAAATGCCTCACCAAAGGGGGGGTTCGGGATATTAGCATTTTGGAGGGATATGTTGTGTTTTATAGGTATTGTTTTCAAAAAACTTTGGTTCTAGACCTCGAAAAAACAGTGATTAGTGCAGGGGGTGAAGTGTAAATGCAAAAAGTATTTTCTTTTTGGAGATTTTTTTTCTTTTTGGGTCCCTCCAAAGTGGAGACAGCCAGCTTGAAAAAAATTTTTAAAGATTGATGAGGGGGAAAAGGGTATTTTGGTGCACTTAGGAGTTGTGGAGACAAAGGTTTTGTCCGGGGGGAAAAGGGGGGAATGAAATGAAGTAAGTTTTACCAACGCTCTTTAGGGGTGGAACTGGGGATAATGTTTAGGAGGAAAAGGCTGGGGGGCGTGGAATGTCATGTCTAAAGGGAAAGTGTGGTATTAAAATGAAGAATTCAATTTGGGGAAGTTAGGAGGGGTGGGGGATTACAAAACTTTTCCCAAAGGGGGCTGAGGAAGTGTTTTTGAGGGGGTTTTCGGATTTGTAAGAAAATGGAGGAAACAGATGATTAAAGGTGTATCAGCTGTAGGGAAGGAGGGGGGTAGGGTGGCCTGGGAAAGGGTTTGGGGGGAGGGGAAAAGGAGGTTTTTGTGTGCAGGGGCTTGGACCCCCGGCAGGGTGGGGTGTTTGATAGGGGGAGACAAAGGGTTTTTTTAAAAATACTTGACTTTCTGTTGGAGTGGACAAGTAACATTTAGGAAGGGGATTGGGGAAACCCGGGCAGGCCGGATTGAGTCGGGGAGAGGGGGAAGTACAGGCCTGCACTCTGAAGGAGGGGTTTTAAATGTGCTTTTTAAAAAAAGTGGTAGGCACCCTCTGAAAGACATGATGGAGGAATGAGGGTGAAAGTTTTTTTTTTTTCGGCCACCCTCCCCTTGGTGGGAATGGGCCGTGTGTTAAAAAAAAAAATTAGTTTACCATATTGGAGAAATTGAAATTCTCTAGTTGAATTTTATATTGTTTTTTCTGCAGCCCATAAAAGTTTGGTTGACTTCTCCCTGGAGCCTTGCATGTCGCAATGGAAGACACTGTCATGCAAAATTTGGCTGTCTCTGCAAAGGAAAAAACGGGCGGGGACATCCTTGTCTTTTTCAATAGAGGTGAGAAACAAGATGGAGAATACTGTGCCGGGAAAACAGAGCTTTCCGTACCCGCCTCAATTTTACTTGTTGATTTTACTATTTTGTTTCTGTTTTTGAGAAAATTATGATCCATCTACCAACTTTTCCTGTTTTCCCTTTTAGCAGCATTTTGTGCCTTAACCATGGAAACTTTTTCGAAGGTTTTGCAAGGGCTTTATATTACATCTGCATTCATTTTTTCCAGTGATCTATAACCTTTTAGTGACCATATTGAGACAGACAGGGGATGCTCTAAACCCCTGTTGCCCTGGTTTTTGTAAATTTATGGTATCAAATGGTGGCGATCTTCTTTTTAGGACCTTTTTCAAAATTTTTATGAAAGGGAAAGTTAGTGCTATCGGGCTGTATTCTTTGCTATTTCTTTATGCCCCCTTTGTGGAGTGGGGTATGTTATTTTTTTGTAACTGTGGGACAACCCTGTGTCCTGCTCCCCTCTCCTAGGGTGGTAAAAACCGTGATAGGGGGTTTTGCGTTTTCTGAACACGGATTCCATGAGTCTGGCCGGCCCAGTGCCCAAAGGGCATGTCATTTATGCCCGTTCGAAGTCATTTGGTGTCGGATAATCAAAGGGTTGTGTTAACCAAAATTCGTGGTTCTCTTTTAAAAAAATTTTTTTTGATCTTGACTCTGTTGGTTTGGGCCCCTTTCTAAAAAAATGAGTCAATTGGGACTTTAGTCCACTCAATTCCCTTTCTGTCATCTGGTAGACCATCTTGTTTAGGAGGGGCCCAATACTGATGTTCTCGACTTTGATTTGGCATAAAAAAGAAAAACTTTGGGTTCTTCGATTTTATTTATGCTTTTTGTTCTTCCCCCCCATTCCATTCATAAGATTCTTTAGTTTTCAATATTTGCTATTTCCTACCCGGACTCCCCACGCTTTCTGATATATTCTCTTTTAGACACTTGTTTTCTTTTCCCTCGCCTGTAAAGGGAGCCCTTCTTTCCATTTTTCATCTATCTTCCTTTTCTTTTAAAGGGAAAAAGCCTTGAGCAACATCGAGTGCCAAACCCAAATTAAACTGTTCAGGGATAAGTTCTCGTGTCACTTAGTCTATCTTCCCAGCTTATATCGTTTAGGACTTGGTTTACTTGGTCCCACTTTATGTTCTTGTTATTGAAGTTGAATTTGGTGAAGGCTCCCTCGTGACTTATCTCATTTTGTCGGTCTGGGGCTCCGCGCATCCATGTCTGAACCTCAATTATGTTGTGATCTGAGTTATCATAGATTTTTTTTAAGCACTGTTCTTGTGATTTTTTTTGATTTAGTAAGCTGTATTTACTATAGTATTTTTTTTTGCTTTTTTACAGATGCTGTTTGTGGCAGCATGGATGCTAATAGGTCTTGCACACAAGTGTCAAGCAGACGTGATCATTATTTCAACACTCAACAATAAAACTTTTACAGCTGTTGGGGATCTTCCCGCATTGTTTGGACCACCGATTCCTCTAACAGGCTTTAAAGTAAGGTTTAAACGTTAGTACTTACTGTGCAACTGAAATATGTATAAAGAAATAGGAATTGGTTAAGAATTGATTGCTTGGGTAAGAAAAATGGGAAGTAAAAACATGGTAAAATTCAGACAAATGTATCTACCTACATTTCAGTGGGTCTGGGAGTCAACACTAAGATAAAGACCTTTATTGGAAAAATTGGAACTGTAAATGAGAATAGGTTACTAAGAAAAGTCCTATTTTCTACCATGTAAGAAACAGACCTATCATTTTTGGAAGGTAGAGAAATTGTAAGTGAAGCGGTATATAATTCAGTAAAGGAGAAGAGAGGAGTGTAGAGGAGAGAGAGAGATTTTGGGAAATGTTAAGCGAAAGTATAGGAACCTTTGAACCAAGTGAGAGAGTAATTGTGGTAGGGGACTTAAATGCTAAAGTAGGAGAAACATTTAGAGAGGGTGTGGTAGGTAAGTTTGGGGTGCCAGGTGTAAATGATAATGGGAGCCCTTTGATTGAACTTGGTATAGAAAGGGGTTTAGTTACAAGTAATACATATTTTAAGAAAACAGTAGTTTGTTGGACTATGTATTGGTAGATAAAAGACTGTTGAGTAGACTTCAGGATGTACATGTTTATAGAGGGGCCACAGATATATCAGATCACTTTCTAGTTGTAGCTACAGTGAGAGTAAAAGGTAGATGGGATACAAGGAAAATAGAAGCAGCAAGTAAGAGAGAGGTGAAGGTGTATAAACTAAAAGAGGAGGCAGTTAGGGTAAGATATAAACAACTATTGGAGGGTAGATGGGCTAGTGAGAGTATAGGCATTGGGGTCGGAGATGTATGGGGTAGGTTTAAGAATGTAGTGTTAAAGTGTTCAGCAGAAGTTTGTGGTTAAAGAAAAGTGGGTACAGCAGGGAAGAAGATAGAGTGGTGGATTGATGATGTAAAGAGAGTAGTAAGGGAGTTGGAGAGATTTTTACAAAGTAGAAGTGATACAAGGAGGAAAGAGTATATGGGGAGAAAAAGAGAGGTTAAGAGAGTGGTGAAGCAATGTAAAATGAGAGCAAATGAGAGTGTGTTATCAACAAATTTTGTTGAAAATAAGAAAAAGTTTTGGAGTGAGATGAATAAATTGAGGAAGTCTAGGGAACAAATGGATTTGTCAGTTAAAAATAGGAGAGGAGAGTTATTAAATGAAGAGTTAGAGGTATCAGGAAGATGGAGGAAATATTTTGAGGAATTGTAAAATGTTGATGAAGATAGGGAAGCTGTGATTTCATGTATAGAGCAAGGAAGAATAACATCTTGTAGGAGTGAGTGTGGGGGAAGTTCATGAGGCAGTGGGTAGAATGAAAAGGGGTAAGGCAGCTGGGATTGACGGGATAAAGATAGAAATGTTAAAAGCAGGAGGGGATATAGTTTTGGATTGGTTGGTGCTAAAAGCAGGAGGGGATATAGTTTTGGATTGGTTGGTGCTATTATTTAATAAATGTATGGAAGAGGGTAAGGTACCTGGGGATTGGCAGAGAGCATGCATAGTTCCTTTGTATAAAGGCAAAGGGGATAAAGGAGAGTGCAAAAATTATAGGGGAATAAGTCTGTTGGGTATACCTGGTAAAGTGTATGGTAGAGTTATTATTGAAAGAATTAAGAGTAAGACAGAGAATAGGATAGCAGATGAACAAGGAGGCTTTAGGAAAGGTAGGGGGTGTGTAGACCATGTGTTTATAGTGAAACATATAGGTGAACAGTATTTAGATAAGGGTAAAGAGGTTTTTTGGCATTTAGGATTTAAAAAAAAGGCAATGACAGGGTTTGGGGAAAAATTTTGGTAACAAGGCCCAGGGGGGATACCACCTGCCAAGTGAGTGTAAAAGAAAACCCAAAAATTTTTTTTTCATGATGGTAGGTTCTGGCGTCTTTTTTCTGTCTCAAAAACATGAAAAGTTTTTCGGGTATTCTTGCGCTTCTACTTTTGCTTAGGTCACACTACACATCAGTAAAGAAAAATAGTATAAAAAAAACCCCTCGGGGTTTTTTTTTTTTCTTACTGTTCTTGTTCTTGTTTATTTCCTCTTACCCCAGGGGGAAGGGGGAAAAAAATTCTCCCCTTTAACCTGCTGTTGTAGAAAAAAGGGGGAAAAAGGGGGCTAGAACCCCTTTTTAAAATTACTATTTTAAAAAAGGAAAATTTTGTTTTTCCTTTAGGCCACCCCACCTCGTGGGTACGGTGGTGGTCGAAAGAAAAAAGTAGAAGGGTGGTGGGGGGGCATTGGTAGAGTTGCGTGTAGGGTATGGAGGTAGGTTACTGAAAGCAGTGAAAATTTTTTTTACGGGATGTGAGGTCAGGTTAGGTATGAGGAGAGAGGGAGATTATTTCCCAAAAAAGTGGCCCCTTAGACAAGGATGTGTGATGTCATGTGGGGGTTTTCAATGTATTTATGGGATGGGCTTGTAAAGAAGTAAAAGCTAGGTTTTGGGGAAAGGGGTTGGGGGAGTTTTTAAAGATAAAGAATAAAACACAAAGTGGGTTTGTACAGTTGCTTTTTGCTGATACACAGTGCTTTAGGGAGATTCTGAAAGAATTCAGGTTGGGTGGGAATTTGGTAGGGTAGTAAAAGAAGAAAAAAAAAAATGAAAATAGGGAAAAAGTAAGGTTTTGGGAAAAAAGTTAGGTGACAAAAGACTGGAATCAATTGGAGGGAAGAGTATGGAGGAGGTGAATGTATTCAGATATTTTGGAGGGGGATGTGTCAGCATGGGTCTATGAAAGGATGAGTGAATCACAGAATTGATGAGGGGGAAAAGGGGGAGGGTGCACTTTGGATCTGTGGAGACAAAAACTTTGTCCAGGAGCAAAAAAAGGGGAAATTTTGAGAGTATAGTTGTTACCAACCTTGTATGGGTTGAAGCATGGGTGATGAATGTTGCAATGAGGAGAAGGGTGGGGCAGTGGGATGTCATTCCCCGAGAGCAAAGTGTGGTGGAATATAATGCAGAAATTTGTAGTTCGGAAATTAGGGGAAGGTGTGGGGGTTTATTTTATTTTTTTTTATTATCACACCGGCCCCATTCCCACCAAGGCGGGTGGCCCAAAAAGAAAAACTTTCACCTCATTCACTCCACACTGCTGAAAAAGGGGGCTTTTCACTAAGTTTTTAAAAATGCAAAATTAACACCCCTCCTTCAAATGCAGGGACTGTACTTCCCCTCTCCAGGGCCAAGTCCGGCCCGCCGGTTTTCCCCAATCCCTTCATAATTTACTTTTCTCACACTCCAACGCACGTCAAGTATTAAAAACCATTTGTCTCCCTTTCCCCCTATCAAAAACGCTCACGCGCCGCTGGAAGTCCAAGCCCCTGCACACAAAACCTCTTTACCCCCCCCTCCAACCCTTCCTAGGCCGACCCCTACCCCCCGCCTTCCTTCCACTACAGACTGATACACTTTGAAGTCATTCTGTTTCGCTCCATTCTCTCTACATGTCCGAACCACCTCAACAACCCTTCCTAAAGCCCTCTGGACAACAGTTTTGGTAATCCCGCACCTCCTCCTAACTTCCAAACTACGAATTCTCTGCATTATATTCACACCACACATTGCCCTCAGACATGACATCTCCACTGCCTCCAGCCTTCTCCTCGCTGCAACATTCATCACCCACGCTTCACACCCATATAAGAGCGTTGGTAAAACTATACTCTCATACATTCCCCTCTTTGCCTCCAAGGACAAAGTTCTTTGTCTCCACAGACTCCTAAGTGCACCACTCACTCTTTTTCCCTCATCAATTCTATGATTCACCTCATCTTTCATAGACCCATCCGCTGACACGTCCACTCCCAAATATCTGAATACGTTCACCTCCTCCATACTCTCTCCCTCCAGAGAGAGAGAAAGGTGTGGGATTACCAAAACTATTATCCAGAGGACTGAGGAGGGGTTGTTGAGGTGGTTCTGACATGTAGAGAGAATGGAACAAAACAGAATGACTTTGAGAGTGTATAAGTCTGTGGTGGAGGGAAGGCGGGGTAGGGGTTCGCTTAGTAAGGGTTGGAGGGACGGGGTAAAGGAGGTTTTGTGTGCAAGGGGCTTGGTCTTCCAGCAAGCGTGCATGAGCGTATTTGATAGGAGTGAATGGAGACAACTGGTTTTTAATACTTGACGTGCTGTTGGAGCGTGAGCTAAGTAACATTTATGAAGGGATTCAGGGAAACTGGCAGGCTGGACTTGAGTCCTGGAAATGGGAAGTACAGTGTCTGCACTCTGAAGGAGGGGTGTTAATGTTGCAGTTTTATAACTGTAGTGTAAAGCACCCCTCTGGCAAGAGTGATGGAGTGAATGATGATGAAAGTGTTTCTTTTTCGGGCCACCCTGCCTTGGTGGGAATCGGCCGATGTGTTAATAAAATATAAAAAAAATGTAGCCAACACTATACAGTGGACCCCCGCATAACGATCACCTCCGAATGCGACCAATTATGTAAGTGTATTTATGTAAGTGCGTTTGTACGTGTATGTTTGGGGGTCTGAAATGGACTAATCTACTTCACAATACATGTATTCCTTATGGGAACAAATTCGGTCAGTACTGGCACCTGAACATACTTCTGGAGTGAAAAAATATCGTTAACCGGGGATCCACTGTACAGTGAACCCTCGTCTTGCGATATTAATCCGTTCCAGAGAGCTCATTGTTAGACGAAATTATCCTAAGTTGAATTAATTTTCCCCATAAGAAATAATGGAAATCCAATTAATCCGTTCGAGACACCCAAAAGTATGAAAAAAAAATTTTTACCTCGTGAAATATACATTTTCCTACACACAAAAAGAAGGATATATGCACAATATATATTGTGCATGTACTGTACTAAATGAAGAATAAATGACACTAAACTTGATTGAAGATGTAGTGATGAGTGATGGGATGGGAGGAGGGGAGATGGAGGTTTATTATTTTTTGGAAGGGGAATCCTCTTCCATAAGGACTTTAGGTAGCAAGTCCTTT